TTAGGGCTGGGTTAGGTGCCACAAATGAGAAATTTGCAATATTCGAGGTCTCATAATCTTAGCTTTCCATGTCACGCTTTCAGTAGTCTCGATAAGTTAGAATTATTTTTCAGAATTCGCGCATTCCAAAAAAAACTATTACTGTTTTTATGCAGAAGTTACACTAGACTAAAGTTCTGGATAGAAAAATTAGCTTTTATGTGCAGAGAAACCCGAGAAAACAGATTTTGGAAATAGCACTCGGCCGACCTCGAAAATCGGCGTCTTTCACTGATTTGGGGTCGATGAACAAAAATTCGCATAGCGGGTGGAAAAAAGAATTTAGAACAATTCTAACTGCAATTTTGTAGTGAGGATAGATAGTACTTTCGATGATAGGAATATAAAAGAAATCTATTTTTCGAGCCCAGATCGAGTGGCACGCTGCTACAGAGACGCCCTCTTAAATGCTCTACGTATACAGGAACGAACAGAATACAATGGGAATGCAAAAGATATTAATAAAACCTTGATCAAATTACAGAACAACAATATGAATGGTAGAGTGCAAACCACATATCCGCGTGAAAGAGCCCAAAACTAAATAGCAATAAACACGTGTTTATTTTGCTCTCAATAGTCCCCTTCACAGCTCCCAGCGCCATTTTGAAAGGTAGCCAAGCCTTTGCATCGAAGCGAGACGAACGGTGAGCTTGCAATGATAGCGGAGAGACATGTGAATAATTGTCCAAGATCGCGCAGGGAACTGTGAAGGGGACTATCGTTTCAATGGTTTTCAATGCCGCCATGTTGGATTAATTTAACAAAAGATTCGTCATTAGTCAATTTTGTTATACCATCCAACGTATGGTTGCCTTGTCTTCATTCTCCTGGGAATGATTGAAAACCAGCAAATATGGTTTACACTATCTGCACTGGGCTTGAAATATTGGTTTTTCTAAAACACAACAGCCATAACCCGTCAGGCTCTAAACAACCAAATAAAATCAAACCACTATCATTCACAATACTGACTCCCCTAAAATACATACAATGATGTTATTTACCGGCCAGAAGTACCAAATAGGGAAAAACTGTTCCCGATGTAGGTATCGAGGTAGTTCGGCCGGGCGACATCCGTTTTCAAGGCCGAGGCCACACTTTTTCTCTATCTTGGCCGAACTAATTAAGGACGGTAAATATTTCCCCACATTTACTTTTATTTACTTAATTCTTCAATTTTTGTTAATGTTTAGCAATCTGTTTTACCAGGATAGCGTACTGCAGCTAGAGAAAATGCCGCTCGCTCCAACAGCCAATCAGAACGCACGGTTTTTAATATACCGAATTGGAAAAAATATATACAGCAATAGACCCGTTTCGAATTCCAAATTACCGCTGTGTTTCTTGATTACAGACTCATTTGCTCAGGGTTAGCCTCGAGTTTGTGCAGAATATTCACGTGTTCCAGTCAAGGCCCGTCGAGTTTCAAAGTGTTTGTATTGTTGAAGCTGTGCATTCTTTGATTTACCGTTGGTATTTGTGAATATTTAAACACTGATACGAGGCTAACCCTGTGCAAATGAGTCTGTAATCAAGAAACACAGCGGTAATTTGCAATTCGAAACTGGTCTATTTCAAGAAATGTTGAATACTGAATATTGCATACTGAATATTGCATAAATGTTGAATACTGAATAGTGCACTACAAGACCAAAGGGCATTGTGGGTCTTGTTAATATGAATTAAAAAGTAGGTTGTATCTCGTTTCGGATGGAATGCCCTGAAAACAAAATATATAATTATTATGTACTTTTTACTTTATGTAATATCATGACCCAACAGGGACGTAACCAGGGGGAACACAGGGTACACGTCTCCCCGTAAAAGCTAAAGGTCCGCTCATCCATCTCCTTTTTTTTTGGTTCTTCTTCCTTTTTTTACTTTTTGGTTCTGCAAATTATTGCCTATGCACCTCCCTGCAAGATCCCTAGTTACGCCACTGAGTTGGTAATAAGAAAAACGATTAATGGTCCGATTTTATTCCATGTGCACCCTCCCTGCATTTTGGTCTTGGAATACACTACTTTAGTATGCAGTATTTATCGTTTTTTATAAATAGCTGTATACATATTATAAAATATATTTCCCTTTTGTAGGAAAAGCATGGTGGTATTCTATAGACAGTAGAAGTTAAGGGGACTGCTACTATTAATTGAACGTGGGATTTAAGTCTACAAGAATGTGCGAGCTCAAAAAAATGCTGAATTACTATGGCAACCTTCATTGAGGGATCATTTCAAGAGTAGTGCAAAATTCCTAAATTTTGCATGGGACTCTACAATTCTTTTCAAATTTCTGAAAATTTAAATAAATTGAAACTTTTGACGAAGTTTGAAAAAAATCACATGGGTCATACTCATATAAAACACGCACAGGCAAACAATAATTGGACAAATCAGCCTGAAGATCTCTCACAGCTTACTTTGCTTTATTAATGAATAATTATTGATCGATAAATATTAAGTTAATGTTATGTAATTATTGAAATATAAATTATGAAAATTGCTTGTTTGTTGAGTGATAATTTCTCTTAATTTTGAAGTTTTTCACATCCTTTATTTACTGAGTCTGTGAGGCAGCATATCGAGGCTTTGCACCATCATGTGATGGCAGCCATAACAGGGTGCATAACAGTAGAGTCTTTTCCCCCTGGGAAACTGAATCCTTCCTAATGTAAATCAGATTAGACCAGAATCAATTGATCCTGTTCCCTGTCATGGCTGCCATCACGTGATGGTGCAAAGTCTCTATTCACAGATCATGAGCCCATTACTAGGAGAATCCATCTCCCAAAAGCTGTTTCCTTGCAGGGCTTTAGATACTATGAGGCAACCGAGGCAGTAGTTGCCTTGATAATATGTCACTAATGCATCTATGCCCTCTGGTAATAAGCCTGAAGCAAGATGACGTTTTACCCCTGACTCTATG